ACTGATGAAGTCTGATTAATGCTTAATCGGAATATTTCTAATAACACCAGGAGTGAATGGCAACCACAATGAAGTAGCTGCATGAGCAGCTAAATTTACAAACATAAATTGTGTATTATTGATGGATTTATATCAGGACTCCTCCTGAAATGATTTAGGATTCAGGTATAAGAATTAAAAAAGGCTGTTCATTGAAAAATTAGAAAAAACAATTAGGTCACAGTAACATGATTAGCACTCACCTAATGTAAAAAGTGTCACCTCCCACCAGTGCTAGTAATTAGGTGTCTGGGGATGTGGGCGTCACCTTAATCTGGCAAGGTTTTAAAAGTATCAATCAATTCCTCTGCTGTGTTGAACTAATTGATAAAAGGGTGGATTCTCTCACTCAGCTTAGACTGTGTCTGGGAGCAGTGGGTGAAAACAGGTCTGATCTTGATTACATAATAATGACACTTAGACTTAGACACTGAGCTCATACATGTGTTGTCCATAATGAAATGGATACAAATGGTTCATTTGCAGTGTGTTATGTCACCTGTGCAGGTCGCTGTTGAGGTGGCATCACGTTATTAAAACGTCTGATGAACTATTGACATTTTATTCACTTTCCCTTTTTTTCCACATTCAGTCTTTGTTTGTGTTTTTGGCCAATGTACTGGCTCGAAACTCCATTGCCAACTCCTGGTATAAAGGTCATGTTGTCATCACTATATCTGATTCCTTTAGGTCAGGGGTCAAATGAGCTGAGAGCCACTGCTGCCACTGTCATTTTATTGGAGGGTAGTTTTTCTTTAATATAAATACTGTATAATACATAGTCTGTATGTGTGACTAAAGTACTGTAATATAAATTTTATAAATATAAATGATAAATAATTATATATATATATATATATATATATATAGCATAATGGCAGAATCAAATTATTATTGACATCTACTCTGTGGCCAGATATGGGATGTCACGGGCAGGAAGTAACCCCCAGACCGGGAGTTTGAAACCCCTGCTTTACAGTCCTGCCTCAGCCTTACCTGACTGTCACCTGTCCAGTGTAGTATTGTGAACTGAGGCCACTCAAACACGTCCCAAAAATCAACTTTTTACTAATTGGGCAAATGAAGCGATTGGGCTTCAGTCTGAATCTAATCACTAGTACTGATTACTTCACTGGTTTTAATTACTTACCAGCCATCTGGTACATGTAGTATTATTGCTGGTTAATACAAACAGGTTAAATGAATGGTGACCACATGCTTGGCGTTATGTTGCAATTTTAAGGTCTTAGCGCAGGGGGCGCAGTTTTCCGCCAGGTGCGCTTTCCCCCTTTCTTCCCTCCATCCTGCACCTTCTCATCACAGCGCTCCTGACTCTGGCTTCTGCTCTGTTGCCTCCTCCTCCCCATCCTCTTGCTCCTGCTCCTCCTCTCCTCTTCGCTTCTTCTTTGCAGAGGGAGCAAGTGACTTGATGCGCACAATAAATCATATCTGCAAGATTTTTTTCTCTCTCCCTTCACTCAGTCTCAGAGCTGGATCTGTTGGATTTCAGCGCTGAGGCACGGACGACAGACAGACAGCGAGTCTGAACTGGGGGATTGTTGTAAATGGGATTGAGCACAGCAAACAACGTGGGTGTTGTGCACAAGTGTTAGTGTGTGTGCGCGCGCGTGTGTGCATGTGTGAGTGTGCGTGTTGTGGTGGGGTGTGTAGGAGAAGGAGGAGAGCAGCGACATGAAACGCGTGTGTTTATACCCTCATGCGTTATGGCGTGTGTTTGATCAGTGAGTGACCAGCGGCGGCTGTGGTTCTCCATCACCTGTGTCCACGACCTTGTGTTTCCGACCGATTTTCCACTAACGAGGTTTCCATGGAGGTTCGGTGCGTCGCCTTTATTTGCACGAGGGCTGAATTTGGCTGCTGTGGCTCTCAAGATATCTCAAGATAAGCGGTAAGACACACACGCGCGCGCACACACACACACACACAATGATAATCCGAGCGCACGCTTTGCAGTTGTGGACGAGCAGTAACACAGAAAGCAAAGTGTGTTTTGGGTTGGATTTACACAGAGCTGTTTTTCATTATAAAAATACTTATTCACTCTTTAATGTAAACAGGCCTGTGTTTCAGTCTCCACTTCACCAGTTACCAATACAACACTCTTAATAATGATTGTTTTGCTGCTGTTTCCCCGCTGCAGCCAATGCCTCCACAAACTGACTGGAGTATTAATGCGGTCTATGTGTGTGTGTGTGTGTATGTGTGTGTGTGTGGCTTGTGAGACATAAAGACAGTAACTGCCACATGCAGGTCCACCCAAGGATGATGGCAATTACTATATTACTATTTTTCACACTATTTTCTCAGCAGAATATTTAGAAAATATAGAGACTTGGATAAAGTCATCACGTTGTAAACTTAAAAAAAGGGAAACATTTAAACTCCCGTCGTTCACAAACAGACGGAGGGGAAAGGGAGGTTTCTGCTGTGATTCTTCAAATGACTCCTCACTGATCTCCATTCATTTGTACAGTGAAGACCAACTAGAACCTGACCCTGAACCACAGACACAACTAAATGCCATGCCCAAAGGATTCCTGGTAAAGTTTCTGTCTTTACTTCTGCTCAAATTAACATTTCAAGCGTAATGCAACATGACCCCCTACGCTGCTGGAAGACACAAGTCTGTTTCATTTGTAATGATCAAAAAATAGTATTAAAAACAGTAATTAGATGATTCTTGATTAGATGATCAATTAGATGATTTGCCCGCAGTCATTCTCTGGTGATGATGTAGTGACTGTGATTTTCAGAATCTTTCATTCATTATCATTACTGTAATCAAGCTCACGGATGAAATCAAACACTTGTGCTGACAAATATAAGTCTTGACGTCACTGCTGAAGCCTCAGTCTACAGGTCAATTAAATTCATGGAACATTTTCTTTGGGTTTTCTTTGCGACACAAGAACTCCGTCTGCCCCTAATAAAACAGGTACGTCTTGACACTGACCAGAGTAGACCAGACCAGACACAGTCCACATGAGGCTCGTCTCAACAGGGAGCAGGTCCACAAGTCCTAACAAAAATCCATAAATATCCCAGAATTGTTCCTAAATAGGTGACAAAAATGAGGACATGCACGGATGTACAGATCCACACAGCATTTCTAATCCGACCAAAGACCTGAGCTGTTTTAGTCATTAGTCCAAAATGTTCAACAAGGACCGGTCCTGGAAAGTCATTGTTTGAACCTCCAGTCCCCTGGGAGGTACCAAACCACACTCACTCTGGCTCTTCCTCTCACTCTGTCTTTTTCTCACACACACAGACACACACACACAGACACAGTGTAAGTGCACACCATGTCATCTGGAATGTATGTGATAAATGCTGTCAGGCCTCTAAAGTGAGTACACTCCCACTCTTCCTAGCAGGGCTGTTTGTTCAAGCAGCGTGTTACTTGGATGCGGGCAGAGTGTGATGGAGGTGGTACATGTCATGATGATACTTTTTTTATTTTTTGCATCAATTAACCCAGTGGCGTTTTAGTGCAGGAATGGATACACTCCATGATTTCAGAGATTCACCCAGTTAAGCTTTCTCACCACCTTCTGTCACCACCATCGTTAGCACCATTATGTATGAATCCAAGCTGAGTGTGCGTATGGGTGTGTGTGTGTGATTGTGTGCGTGTGTGTGTATGTGAATGTGGGTGGTGGGATCCTGCTCAGCTTAGCTGGTGTTCTTGTGTGTTTTAGTGTATGTGCTCCTACAGTGTGCACATGTGAATCACTGAGCAGCCTGTTTTGTGTGACAGATTTTTTAACTCTCGTATTTTGCCATTATAAATGATGTATCAGTTCTGCATAAGAACGAAGCCGGTTGGCATTAACTGTCACATGGTGCCATTCTTTTTTTTTTTTTACAAACGCTCATTACAAATGCAAACCCTAACATGCCGAGTCGACAGTATTATAATACCCACTGTTCCCTTCACGTACCATCCCCAGTCCTGAGGTGCCAGCCGTTTGCACAGTGTGGGCCTATCTCGGAGGTATGGCATGCACGGCTATTTTTGAGGGAAAGCGTACCAATCCAATTTTGCAGACTTTGAGGGGTGGAAAAAGGGCTGAACAAACATGAAAGTCCGGGAAGAAAATCCTGGCTGAGACCCCACATGTCTGATCTGTCATCCAGGCAGCTGACAAACAATTAGACCCTCCATAAGACGTGCTCTGATGCAGGCTCACCTCAGGATTAGAGCACAAATTAGCCCCACTTTGTGGCTTATATCCTTGTAAGCAGAGTATCTGCATGTACACTGTATCTGGAGACCAGAATGCTAATCACTGTGAGAGGAGTAAAGTATGTAAGTCCAGTGTTCTCTTTAGTTTGTGTGACTTTTTTTTCCCCCAGCTCCTTGCGTTAATGTTTCTTTTTTTTATTTTTCGTAAACAAATCACTTTATTAACATGTTCGTCTTCAGGCAGGTGACACTAACGTACCGATATCTGTTTATGCCCCGCGTGTTTGAGGCTGCTTACTTAACTGCTGCATTATTGTCCCTGGTTCACCATTGTTTGTATGTATGACATTTTGTAATTGCATCATTACTCGCTCAGGCTCCCTCCGCTAGAAGCGGGCACATCACAATTTGCAACACGTGCTACGAACAGACAGACACTTGCCCTTGATTATGGACCTGGGTGGAATGGCTTCCTCATCAGGCTGTCTTGATTCATCTCAGCATGTGGTGAGACACACGCTGCTTGGATGAATCTAATTGATTGGATGGCACCCAATTTCCAGGTCCAAGGCTCCTCATGCAGCCTGAGAGAGAATCCATCCAAGTGAAGGATGAGCTAAGGTGTTGGTTGCTGCCTCAATAGGTTGGCATCAGTTTTTTTTTTCCCCCATATGCCTCTGGTATCGGCCGCAGACATCACTGCGTCCATGTTGGCCTCACCACAGGGAGCGGGGGGTCAGTGAACTGCTGGTAATGTGACCTGGGGGATGATCGGGAGGAACGAGAGATTGCATCATACCAGGAAGTTAAAAAATAATGTTGTCAAATGTTACTTTCACAATAAGAGGCCGGTGTGTTTATTCCATTAGCCATTAAATATTTACCGATGGGCAGATGCAGCCTGTGGCCAAAACAATGCAGTGGTACACAGCTTTTGAGTCTGTTGGCCGTCATGACATTGACGCTGTCTGTACTGATGCACACTTCCTGGTCTTAATACAAACCTCAGCAGGGCAGCGCCTCACTAATCCAAGAGATAGATTCTCACCAGTGTATTGGAGTACACTGTGTATGTTTGATTTGAACAGAGTTTCTGCTCTAGAAATGTACGTGCAGTTCAAGCTCTTTAACAAATAGAAGTGTCGTTCTCAAACTTACTTAGTTTATACTTAACCGTCTCCTACGCATGCAATACATCACCTACACCCGTGGTGTAATCTGTGAAGGTTTTGATGTAATGTGGTAATATCAGTTATGTTTATCCTGCCAAAATTCATGAATCGTTTTCTCACAAACCAGACTTTTAAAAAACATGTAAATATGTGGTCTGTGTGGATTTTCAGTCATCCTTCTAACGCAGTTCAGTCGAAGGCAGCTGGACTGTGTTGGTTTCATCTCTCATCCAAGAGGTTCAAAAACCAGACACAGTCCAGTTGGACCTACACGCCCTGATAATGCAATGAAATGTATAAATACAACAAATGTGATCATCCCTGGAACCTTTGCATGATATAACTCTAACTAGTGCATTACCCATGGTTTGCAGTTGTCACACTGGGTTTTGACCCATAAGGATCAGTTTGTGCTTACACAGCAGTGCTGGTTCACCATGTCATTATTTTCCTAAAATAAAAACCCTAACTGCAGAGGACAGCATGCATCTCTATTTTAAGATAAATCACATGTTGAGTATGTGCAAAATACACAATGGAGTAAGGTTATAACATCACTTCTCTTTAACAAGTGTTAGAGGCAGTCAGTTACTAGTTAATGGCCTATTAGCACGAGCCACATAGAATATTAGTGCTGCCATTTGAGTTTCATTCCAAATTGAGGCAGTGCTGTTCCCTGACCTTTTCCAAAAAGAAAAAAGAAAAAAAGAAAACCACCATTACTAAGTTTAGTCCGGACCAGAAACCCCTGGCTACAAACAGAAAACAAGTTTCTATTCTTTTAGTATGGGCCATAAAAAAGTGAAATATGGAACTTCCTTCATCTGTTTCCTACACATCAGTGCGTCTGGTTTACAATGACACACAAGAATAGCTCTGATAAGGCTCTGCCAATTCAGCACAGCATCTGCCAGGTCGCCACCACAACATGAACCACAGGGATATTGTTGTGTAAAAAAAACAAAAAAAAATCATTAATATAGACTGTCCTATGTAAAGGCTCTGGCTAGAAAGTTTGTCGTTGTCCTTGTTTTCTCATTAATTTGTATGAACACGTGCATTTAGACACATGAATGAAGTGAATGAGAAGGAACGTCTCTTGACTGTATGTATTTTACACTGCTTTTCACAGATTTACATGACCATTTACAAAACCACATTCTTCATATAGTACAGTGCTTCAGGCTCTTGTTGTGTTACTGTGGTGTTGGGCACAGACCACACACTCCTTGTTTGTTTGGTTAAATGTTGGGGCACACAGAGGGTAAACATGTAGATAATATAGTTTTCTGTTACTGCGTGCAGCTCCTAGTTCATGCAAAACCTCTTGTTTATTTACATTGTAGAATTTCCGCCCCTTCAATACCAACTCCCACTTTTGGTGCCATCTTCAGTGGCAGGATATTAAAAGTGGAATGAAAGGCTTGGTGTTTGCCAAGTCTCCTTTTTTTTATTTTATCAAAATGTTCATTCCAACAGGTCAATCTACCCTCCCTCCTTGAACAAGAGTGCCATTTCGAAGCTTATTGGATGAGATTCTCGTTTGCCCTTGGCTGCCAAAGATGACGTTGCTATGGAAACAGATGCTGCTGTTATCAATCATCGACCGCCTGGCAGGTAAACCACCTTTTTATATGAGTAATGATTCTTTCATGTTTGGACATTTACAGCTGTGAGATGATAGCTGAAGAGCAGACAATCATGTCAGTGTCAGACCTGATAGGGCGGCCCAGGTTAAAGGAACAATCCGCAGTATTGACTTCCTCGCACAGGACACGCAGTGACTCAATCAACTTCTTCACCGTACTCAACGTCGTTCACCTGCCTCCTGTTGGTACTGAATGACTCATGTTAAGGAAAACATCATCAACATAGATGATCATATTTGCTGTGATGTCCATACAACCATATACCAAAACTAGAAACTTGTCTCATGTGGCTTTGTGGTTCCTTATGTAGCGGATATCACGCCTGCTTTAAACGCAGAAGGTCCTGGGTTTGAGCCCCAGACGGACCATTTGGTTAATGGCATCTTTCCATAGCAGCCTGTCGGGGTTGAAAGAATCACACTAATAAGGGTCTAATATTATATATATGTATATTTATTTATTTTATGATGTACAAAGTTCCATTTTATCTATAAGACATGAAAAAAATAAAAATGTTGCCTTATAGATTGTTTCGACAGTGGATCGTATCATGGTCCAAGATGGAGGATGGAACCAGTGGATTTGTTCATTCCTGTGGACTCAATAGAAGAGGAAGCCACCCTGACCTGTGACGCCAAAGGAATGCCACCTCCACAGTACAGGTATGAGCATAGTTCAATGAAGGTTTGTGGAAATAATCAGATGCTTACTGTATTACTTGAGGATTTTCAAGAGTGCATCTGACTAACAAGTGGTGAATCTAATAATCTGGGGCTTCTAAAAATACCATAAATAGCAAGATGATACTTTTTTTCTTTGCCTTTCTTTTGAATTAGCTCAAGGAGCTAATTCAATAATAAAATACGAAATATATATATAAATGCCTTTCTTTTGAATTAGCTCAAGGAGGTTAACCTACATATTCCGCAGCTCAGGAACCGTCTCTTGATTTGGCTGCTCAGTTTCATCACTGAAAGCATTTTAGGAGCAATTCAGTTACGTTTAAAGAGCCTGCAAACCTGTGTCCATAAAGGGATGTAAAATCTGCATAAAATCAGTAAAAAATAGTTCATATTCTATGTATGATAATGTATGGGGAATTTACAATCCTAATATGGGTGCTGGGGCCTGTGCTTTCAGTCCATATTCCCAGTAAAAATCCATTTTAAAAATTAAAATACTGTGCAGATCGCTGCCTCTCCTTTTCATTTTCTCCAGATTAGACTGACACACATTAGTTGAGTCTGGCTCTGGTCTCATCAGATAGTATCTTGGGGACACACATGTAGCATCTTAATGATTGTCTCCTCTTATAAAGATGCTCTGAGACCAGTGCAGGTTGCTAGACACCAGTGGGCACCAGCGTGCATTGATTACAAGTGTCTTTGGTGTTCAACAATGGAATTACTGAAGCACAGACGCCATCGATGTGTCGAGCTCTACCGGTGGGGAGTACATCTTCTCATTATTTGAGGCTTTGCACATCCCTGCCTAAGACCAGGTATTTCCATGTACTGATTAAAGGTGAAATGAGCATGTTTAACGTGATATCTTGTCAAACTGGCGGTGCTAGGCTCTGCATGCCCTCAGCACCTTTCCGGCTACTCTCTTGAAGTGTAAATGGGCTCACACTGCTCCCACCCCCTTCATCTTCTCTCCTTTTTTCTCTTTCCTCCGCTGTCACTCTCCAAGATGTGAGACCTACACAGAACACATATACATGCACACACATAGAACAGAGGGGAAAAAAGCAGCACAAAAAGATTTTTTTTTTTTTACTGTGAGCTAGATGGGCATTCTTTTTATTAGTCTGTGCTGAACATAAGTCATTTAACCCCAACATGACCTGGAATTTAAAGCCTGTTGTTCTGGACTGTGAAATCCACTTTAGCAGTCCCGTTTGGCTGTGGAGAATTGTTAAGATAATGCGCTCACAAAATGAGTCTCCAGTGGGTTGTGTTACTGCTGCTGTTCTATCACAGGCCAATGATCAGAGCACTGCTGAATAGTGGACACACTTGACTTCTGGTCAAAGGAGGTAAAAACCGTGATTGAGCTGATTGTGTACAAACACAGACACACAAATGTACCTGCATCACTGCAGCCCAAAGATCTCCCAGTCTCTAGACTGTAAAACATATTATTACTAATAATATATTAATATGTTAAAAGGCCACGCTTCTGATGTATCTTCTATGTGTATGTTCAATGTATGTTGCCATTGAGCGTCAACACTAGCTTCATTTTCTGCCCTGGTGCTGGTGTTAAGTAGCCTTTTAAAAGCACTGTTTTTTTCCTAAAGAAACACGTAATAAATATACATTTCAATATGAGTAATTGTAACTAGATAGAACAGACACATTAAACGGCTCTGCTTTGTGTTCCTCTACACTTTATAGTGGCCTGTTGCTCACAGAATCGGAAAAAACGACCCTCGACAGCAATCTGGCTAAAAATAGCTGCGTTATCCTGTGGAGGTTTTAAATTCTAACCACAATGTTCCAAAGAAAATACATTTAAACCAAATATTAACAGGAACCACTCATTTATTATTGACACGATTATCCTCATCTTAGAAATATCACATTTGTGTTTCACAGCACAAAAGATTGAGATTTCCTATGTAGCATGGTCAGCCTCCTCCAGGGCTAAACTTGGTTAAGCTAACCCTGTTAGCTTCTCCGTTCTGCTTTAATACTTTGGCCTTTTTTTATCTTACCCTAAACTTGCTCAGTACTCTTTCAATTTAAAAAAAAGTATATATTTATTGCCACCAAAAGTGGCTGAAAAACATGAAATGAGACTCAGCTCAAGTCTTTTCCTGCAGAATAAAGAGAATTGTTTTTAATAATTTAAATATGTCAGTGCTTTACACTTTCTTGTAGGTGATTCCTTTATTTCTTGACACAATCTGGACCACTTCGTGGGTAATTTTTTACTCCTCTGCTGCAGTAAGTGTGGATTTAATGAAAGCAGAAAAAAAAAGGAGTGTGAAAGTCTTCTTCTGTTGCATCATCTAACTGTTACTTTTTTCCCAAGTGCCAATCTCTTGTCCTAATGAGGAGTCAGAGGTGGAATAAGGTCACATTAGGGAAATTTAATGTGACAGAGAAAAAGTAACTGTGTTAAGACTTATGGTAATGACCGGGATCCTTCCTAAATCTTTGATCCTCTGTTTACCTTAAATAGCAGAAGACACTTTTGTGTTTGATAGTCTTAGATTAAACTTTAATGATCCCTGCGGAAGGAAAGGGTGAAGCTGCTGCAAGAAGTAATTGTGCGGAAAAAAAAGAGTAAAGCATAATAAATAAGAGAAAAAACACAATGTGCAGAAGAGTAGCTCATTTTAAAGACCAGTCTCCTCAGAACATGTGAGCTAAATAATAAATACGAATGAGAGGTGCAAAAATATTAAGACTACCATTAGAATTCAGGAAAGGAAAATATGCTGCGAAGATGACATGGAAAAAGAACATTGAAAGAATAAAAACATGTGTATATAATTCCATAACCTGCTTTTCATATAAGCCATATTACATATATACTGTGTATATATATATATATATATATGTATACATATATATATGTACTGTACATTAGGCATAAGGGATAACTGTACAATTTAAGCTGAGTAAGACTTAACTCCTTATTCTTAACGCAATAAAAATACAATGTTTAATTTGGTAAAGTACTGGAGCCTTTTATTAATCAGCCAAATGGACAAAGAAAGGACTTTTATTGTTTTTACTCTTTAGCGAATCACTGATTTTGAATTGTTAAACACCTGATTTTTATGAAACTAAGGCCTTTAATTTTTTCGGGTGAATGGGCCATACCTATTATGGCAGTAGTAAAATATTAAGGCCGTTATTGCAATAAAACATCTCAAATTTTATAATCTCTACTTTCCCAGCCTTTTTATGTTTGTTTGTTTTTTTTGGGACATTTTTATTCAAGGATGTGGACTGCAGGCAGGCCACACCAGGACATGCACTGTTTTATCATAGTTACATCTGTTTATCTATTCTATTTGATTAAAGCCTTGTGAGATTGACCTCAGTACAGGTTTCAGCTTTTATTGCATTCAACTCTTAATGGTCGATACCTTTGGTCCTCTGGGGTCAACATGGCCCAACCTGTTTACATTGTTTTTATGTACATAACATAAATATTGTCAAATCAATTCTGTATTATAGTTTTAATCCAACTTCAATTCAATGCAACACCACAAATGTCCACCCCTTGTTTTCGAAAAGTGATGCTAAAAAGACTTTGTTTAAGTAAACTACAAAACTACAAAACCTATAGGTGGAAATTCATTTGAGCTCATAATGACCATGAGGACAACACATGGGTTCCTCCTGTTGTAGAAATTGGGTTTGTACGAATATACCGGTTGTGTAGCGTGTCACTAAAATGTGATTGTGTTGGTATAGAATGAGTTGTGCTCACCATTCAGCTCCCGTCTAACAGTCTTGAATATGAGAATAAAACCGTTGACTGGGTTTTGCCGTGGACTGATGGTGTCGTTGCCCTCACAGATGGTCACTGAATGGGACTCTCATCAATCTGGGCCAGGATCGCCACCGGCGTCTGTCTGGGGGCAACCTCATTATAAGCGGTCTGGACCGCCACCAGGACGCAGGGATGTACCAGTGTATGGCTTACAACACAGTTGGTGCTGTGCTCAGCAGGAGAGCAAGTCTACAGTTTGCCTGTAAGTCACAACAACATCAACAGGTTTTGAATACACTCTGGAAAGAGGGTTATTATTTGTAAAGATTTATAAGAAAACAACTTTTGTGATGATAGAATTGATGTGAAATGTGAAACTGAAGACTAAAAACTAAGAATGACTTTTTTAACTTGTGTTGCTTGATCAAAAGTTTCTGGTTTTATATTTGGGGCTATTGATGTTTTACCATTTTTTTTATGAATAACTGCAGATTTGCAGATCTTTGGTGTGGTAGACAAGCTTTTAAGAGATGCACTGCTGAGATTAGTGCCCAAAATACTGACTAATGAGGTTCCAAAAAAACACAAACATCACGAGTCTTTGTAGAAATCATCTTTTTGTATAATTAGGTTGGCTATTTTCAGTTTTTCTCCAGATACAAATTGTTCCTTTTGGAAAATGACTACAGAAAAGTCCGTCTAATATACAGCCTATCTAGAAACCCAGTAAATAACGGACTGGCGTCTATATGTAATAATAATATTCATATGCTTTATATTTAATTTAAGAAAAGGTCGGACATTTTCCATTTTCTAATCAGATCTGAAACACCCAGCATGTGTTTGGCAGGGCTTTAACCTCAGGTCAAACGCTTGACGCTCTCCAGACCGGCCTCACCGAGCCCACGGCTGACAGGCTGACTGACACAGTCACCAAACGGACTGGGAGCTGTGGACTGTGGATCGATTAATATTGTAGAGGATAATCACTGAATTGAATTGAAATAAGTCTTGACGTGTTCTACAAGCCGCAGAAAAGATGCTTCTTTTTCTGAATTAATAATTCCATATTTTATTAGTATAAACTATTTATATTATTGATATATTTATTAGTCAGTATAAACCTACCTGCTGTTCTTTGTGCTTCTGTTCCAGCAAAATGCAGAAAAAAAGCAATGTAGGAATGTTGATTAATATCAATTATTCATGATTAAACACGATTAAGTACAATTAATTGTTATTAATCCACAGCTTACCTGTGATGAATCAGCTTAAAAAAAGTAATTGTTTGACAGCCCTAGTAAATAACAAACCAGGATTTGACAGTTGATTTTAGACATCAACTTTAGTTTGACACTATCATATCCTGATAAACAGAAAATTATTTAATATCAACATAAGAATGAATGCATTATATTTGTTAGCAGCTTCTGCCTCACAGCAGCTAAGCACTGCTTTGTTTAATCATCTACTTATATTTAACTGTAAATGAAGACGATGAAGAATAGCATTGGCTCGTCCCTCCATCAGGGGTCACTGGAGCATCAGTCAATAATGTTCTGACAGAGTTTTTATACCAGATGTCCTTCCTGATGCAAGCCAACTGGGGATTTAGGGACGAGATGGATGATTGTATTTTTTATAATAGGTCTTTGAACACTGGCAGGTTTTTTTTGTTGTTTTTTTTACTTTTACAACTACAACTGCACCGTGCTGCTGTGACACTGAATTCTCTATTTCTTGGATCGATACACTACATCTATCCATGTATAATTTCCAAATGCCGTCCTGTGCACTTTCTTTACATGATATTTGCCAAGTTGGCAAAAAGCTTCTCAACATTTGGGGGGGACGGGACAGTGAAGGCACAAAATAAAAAAAAAAGTAAAAAAAGTAAAAAGAGATAAATCACTGTCTAATGATTGACGGTTCTCCTATCACTATATTATATCCTGTCACATCAGGCAGACTCAGCTACAGCCTCACAGTGTCAGTCGGCTTCAAATCTAAAATAAGATCTCATGTCTTATTTATGACCTGCCTTGACGTTTTTGCACTTTATTTTGGTCAAACACTTTACAGAGAACCATAAAAGAGAATCTCTTTTGTCGTCCCGTCTTCTTCTTTCTTTCAGGCTCAGTAGATGTGCAAATCTCATGGCAGTTTCCTTATAGACTCTCTCTAGCTGAAAGCTTTCACTCCGCTCTGCTCCACTCTGATACGTATGTGTGATCCTTGGGGGATATTTCTCCCCCCTTTTTCTTTCTTTCTCTTTTTTTCCTCCTCCCTCCTCAGACTTAGATCATTTCAAAGTTCACACCAGAAGTGCAGTGTCGGTCCGGGAGGGACAGGGAGTGGTGTTACTCTGTGGAACTCCTACGTCTTCTGGAGGTAATCTACGTCCCCCGGGTGTCTGGACATGACTGCTAAATAAACTTTATAATTATACATCACTGTTTTAATCAATTCTATTGTTTCTTTGTTTCTTTTTTTTTATTTATCCTAGACCTTACTTATGCATGGGTCTTCAATGAGTACCCCTACTTTGTTCAGCAAGACAATCGGCGTTTCGTCTCACAGCAGACGGGAAACCTTTACATCGCCAAGGTTGAAGCCTCTGATGTGGGCAACTACACATGTGTGGTGACGAACAGTGTCACAAAGGGCAAAGTTCACAGTTCGCCCACGTCTCTGATCCTCAGGACCGACGGTGAGTCACAGTCGGGGGCCGTGATGTGACAAGTGTCCCTTTCAGCCTTACTCACATTAAGGACACGTCCTTGCGAGACATTTCTCATCATCATCACACACTGGCGTAAGTGCTCTTTGTCCCGTCGTGCCTCTCTGTAGGTGAGTCACCCACAATGTCCTAGGAAGTAAATAGTTGCTCCTGAATGTAGGCCACCAGACAAAGCAGCCAAATCTCCTCTCTGCTGACTCGGCTTTTCTACCATTTACATCCCCTTTAAAAGCTTTCACTGCGCTTTCGCATGAATTCTCAGGTTGCTCCGCGGCGCCCTGTTGTTCCATTCTCTGCCGTGCTTTCATAGAATAAAGGTTGAATAAAGATTGCATTTGGAATGAATTAAACATAAGACATACATCACTGGACCATTACATTGAGTGTTCTGGTGGCTCAACCAGTTAGTTCCCACTCAGTGTTACTGTACACGCCGCGGCATAAATTTAAATCCCTTTGCATCATTTTTCTGATCTGGGATTTGCCTGTCTTCCCTGAATAATGATCTATACAATAAAACACCAGAGGTTCCTAACTGCCCACCCAAGCTTTGAAATAATAGATAAAAAGCCAGAGTAGCGTTTGCAAAACATGATTTCACACGTCGTCTTTCTACTCCGGCAGGAAGAGATTTAAATTATTTGAGGCTGATGTTACGCTACGTCCCGGCGACCGCACACTAAAGCGAGCTAGCACTCAGACTTCACCCATGAGAGAATGTTTGTTCATGTGTCTTTTTCTGTTTCCCCTCAGTTAGTTCACTGTTGTTTGCTCAATAATGTAAGTGCCATACTACTTGTACGCCATGCATAATGGAACATTGAACAAGTTCTTGTGCTTACTCTACATAGGAGTGATGGGTGAATACGAGCCAAAAATAGAAGTTAATTTCCCAGACAATGTACTCGCCGCCAAAGGATCAACAGTTACACTGGAGTGTTTTGCCCTTGGAAAGTAAGCTGAATTCCTTGAAGCATGATTTCAATCTTCGGCTGATTTACATTCCAGACAAAGCTCACCAGGATTTTTATATAATAAAGTTACTGTCTGAAAGTTAATGTGTCAGGGTTTTTTTGGGGTGTTTCAGATGGGAAATGTTAAAAATGATTTGTCACCTCCTCTGTCTCTTCCAGTCCTGTTCCTGAGATAACATGGAAGAGGGCTAATGGCATACCTTTCCCCAGTAAAGTCAAAATGAAGTATTCCAACGCTGTGCTGGAGATTCCCAGCTTCCAGCAGGATGACGCCGGCGGATACGAGTGCTTGGCCGAAAACAAGATGGGAAAAAACACCGCCACTGGTCGGCTGGTGTTCTATGGTAGTGTATCCTTTATTTCTGTTTAAAAAATGGTCACGACATTTGTTATACACAATGTGGACTGTATGAGACGTATGCTTCAGGCAAATGTTTGTATATTTTCATATTACTGCTCTGAATATACGGCTCTGAATGGATACAATCACTGGTTGCCAAAGTGTGAGGTGGTATATATAAATATATTATATAGTATATAAATAAGTATCTATATAATGTATATAAAAATATAGTAAAGATATATGTATACATTTACTGCTGTTATTGTTTATTTACTTTTCCCACACTTCAGACATTTTCTGGCTTTTAGTCTCTTTCCTTCCTGTCGTTAGTAGCGATGCTGACATCATGAGCCAACGGCCTCCGAGTGAAATATAACAGACCCAGAACCAATTAACGACAGCAAAATTAATGAAACGAACACTCAATTCCGGAAAGTTGTAATCAAATACTTTTCTTAATTGCATTTGCAATGATTTGTAACGTCATTTTCTTCCTTTAATGGCAGGGAGTATTGTAGGAATTACAGCACGTTTTGAGGGGGGGGGGGGCTCTCTACAGCAGGGGAGTCTGTAGAAGTCTGTAGAGTAAACACTGGATTAGATCAAAGGTCTCAGTCTTTTCACTCCATGCCCTCACTCTCCATCATCAGTTCAGAAATTTAAATTATGAAATATCCTACAAATGATCTTTGGTTATGACCAAAAAGTGGATCCAGAAATGCCCCGTCATGTCTTTAAATTCTCCATTGGTGAGAAATGATCGATTTCCATTGTGTTCCTTTTCAGAAAATAAGGAAAAAGTATTAGTGCCATCTGTATAAGCAGCGCCGGTGTGGAGATGGTCTTTGGTTAATAACAGGTGTAACCAAACGATTGTGTCTGCAGAAGAAAAAGTTAACATTCAGGGAAATTGCACTTAAGCACTTTTGGCCTTCACTGGATCCAGCCGAGGCGGGAGGAGAGTTACAGAGTGGTAATTAAATTATTCCATTCACTTTAAAGGCTGCGATGTATTCACAGCAGGTTAAATGAAGACCTTAAGTCTTTACTTCATCCATTTTCCAATCAAATGAAGAAGTGTTTCTGCTTTAACTCTTCGACCGCTGATACATTTTTGGACTCTTGACTTGTTTTTTTTCCCCCTGCATTTGTCAGAGGGAGAGTGACACTTGTGAAAATTGGAGCTGATGGCATGTACAGTGTCAGAGAAGTGAGCTGTTTTGTTATTATGAGCACATCTTCCTTCCCCCTGAAATTCCTGAAAAGCTGTCAATATGTGAGAGGCAGGCTGCAGGCAGACAGGACCCGGATTGGAAATCGACAGAGGTTGTGTTTATTATGGACCAGAATTATTATGACAGGTGGAGGTGAGCGGTGATGGAGTGCTCGCGTCCCTCGCCGTGAGAGCTTCCTGCTTGGTGCTGCAATGTTTCATTCTAATCTTGAGTTGCCATGGGGTGCTGACACGTTTAAGTGATGAAACTGGAAGACACACCCCACATCCACTCCCCTGCTCTCTGTTAGTTTTCAAGACACAGCCCATTTTTGTTACACTATCTGATTTTCATTGATTCGAGCTGTCAAGATTAAATGAGATCTGCGCGCCTGCTCCTTGTCAAATATGTCACTTGAGTGTATTTTCTGTGTCTGAAGCCAAGCCCCAGTGGATCCAGACCATGAAGGACACGGCCCTGGCCATAGAGGAGAGATTGTACTGGGAGTGTCGAGCCAGCGGGAAGCCCAAACCCTCTTACATGTGGCTGAGGAACGGGCAGCAGCTTCTCTCAGAGGTAAATTATAAGTCGTCCTCCGCCAGCGGCCACTGTTTCATTTTTAAAAGCTTAATCTTCAGCCTGAGCTCATCCTTTCATTTTAGAGAGGCTGGCATCAAACACGTTGCTGTTTCCTAAGTGCAGTTGAGAGAGATGAGGGGAGAGGGTGAACATCTTTCTGAGGTGTGCCGTGATGAGGCACGAGTGTAACTGTCTCTTATTCTTCTCTGCCTTGGCAGAGTACACACTCCCAGAAGATTGGTCCATTTCATCTGAATGAAGTCTGTGCTTGTTTTTCATTATTCCTGGTGCATATTTAAGCTCCTCCATGTTCAGGACAAACAGGCTTTTGTGAGACATGCTGTAGTGGATATAAGAGCACTCCTCTCTGCAGACCACCACGAGTGCACGTAGTCCGGTGTTGTTTGGAAAAACCCAGCTTCACTCTTGTGTACACTCTACAGCAGGTAACTGCTGAGTTGTCTTTTCTTTGTCAACAGTGCTCAGAGCGTTGTGCAGATTAATGCTCTTTGAACCTGAATGCATCGCCTCTGATGTTGTTATTTGTAGGTGTAGCTTGCAGCGTCGTCGACGCAAAACCTCCACCAAAGAGATTGTTCAAGAGTTCTTTTACTCACTTTAATTGGCCGTGAGGTTGATATGGTGATCGCTGTCATGCAGTGACACTGCCCTCTGCTGTCGTTTTTGCTTTCTCCTCAACTAATAGTGAGTGAATGAGAGGTTTTTGTGCTGAAACAAGTGGGAATTAACCCAGTGTGTAGCAGAAATAAAACTACTGGTCCGTCAGCTATTGTTAGATCCCATAATTAATTGACATTCCCAATGAAAAAAACTCTACTTTTCAGCAGCACCCTCCTCTCATGAATCAGAACCTGTTCGATGCCGTCTGTCAGTACAGACACAGAACACTGAGATTTCTCCAGACTTTACCTTTAAAAAAGAGAAGACGTTCCTAAATGTCACGTCTCAATCTGGTTTTAAGGCATCTGTAAATACCATCCTATTTTGAATGTTATCAGTTCTTTGTTGGTGGAAATGCTGCCGCATACAATCAGTTTTAATTATTTTTATTTTCACCAACTTGGTGTAAAAAGCTGAGCAGATTAATGGTGGGAAATTAATTAAAGGGCCTTAATTTAAATTGATTTATATGTTGTTGCCCCATGCCATATATTTACATCCAACCACACATTCATCAATCAACAAGATTTGTATTATGTTGGACAAGCGAGGAAATAAACACAGAAAAAAAACAATCCAATTTTCATTTATTAAACCCAATTTTTTTTTTTCACCCATATTTCTGTGTGTTTTTTGTTTTTGTTTGATTTCCTACTTCTCCACGTAGACACGGATTGGCTGAGGTTCTGTGGACAACATCTAACGATCCCATCATCGTAAAAACTAAAGTGTGTTTTGTCCTCTGGCTGCTTCATGCTCCGCCACATAATCCTGATTTGATCCACACTTATTGACAGACCCTCTGACCCAATCGAATGTGCATCGAGCTTGGTAGAAGTGCGCTGAGTGAGGCAAAAGCTACCTTTAAGTCCGCACCAATAATTGCTTTCTTTCAACCTTGTTTCTTCACAGGACAGGATCCGCGTGGAAGACGGCGTCCTGTCAGTGTCGGCGCTGACGCTATCTGACGCCGGCATGTACCAGTGCGTGGCCGAGAATAAACATGGTGTCATATATTTCGCCGCGGAGCTGATGGTTTTAGGTAGGATGGCATTTATCCATCACTTCAGTCCTCAAATCTTTGTTGGCAAAGATTCTTAAAGGTCATCCTGCTGCCATTTGTAAAGGTTGTGGATTACTGGATAATGGGGTCAGCGAGAATCCTTTTGTAGGGTCAGAAACATTTAAAATATATATATATAGATATCTTTCTTTTTGCATTACATGAGGGTTTGATGATTCCATTGAATTTTCACTTTTTAACAACAAATATTGTAAAATAATGGTAAAAAGATAGGACCAGAACAATTATTGCTGTTGTTTAGTAGGGACACTTACTGTGACGCACATCACTCTGGAATCATGAGCTCAGAGGAGAGGAGGTGTGAAAGTGTGGAAAAAAACAGAACATTTTTATGTAGACTATCAATGTAGCTTTATATAAACTTTTATATCTGTATATATACATTTTTATATCTCGTTACATTACACTTTTTGTGATTGTTGTTTCTGCCAGTTTTGAATTGAAGGACAGAAAGTCATTTTCAAGCATTTCAGACTTTTTTGTAGCCTATTCAAATATAAATTTAATCCTTTTCAAAACATAATCAGTAGCTGCAGCTCTAAAAATACTGCTTGGGAATTCCCTGCTGTTGATAAATCACCATCATATGTTAAGAATTCAATTTTATCTTAGCTCTGTGAAATATGCTGCAGCCTTGTGTTAGAGTCTGTTTTTTAGTTTTTAGCTTATTTTTTAAAATTTTCATTTCTTTTCAGCTTCTGCTCCAGACTTCACAGGGAACCTCCTCAGAGCCTTGCTCAAAGCCAAGGCAGGAACCACAGTGACTTTGGAGTGCAAACCGCAGGCCTATCCCATTGCCAGCATCTTGTGGAAGAAAGGAAACCTTCCCATCCACACCAACGACAGGCAAGGCTTCGTTCTCCGTTGTAAATTATTCACTTGAAGATGGCGATCTGCAGACACGCTCAGACCTACAGCTAATGATAAAGAAGGATTCCTGGTGCACTACAGACGTGCTTCATTTCTTTGTTTGTGCTCTGGTTCAGGATCACACTTTCCCCAGATGGAACGCTGAGGCTCGCCAACGTGAGCAAGTCTGATGCCGGCAGTTACACATGCTTCGCTAGGAATAGATTTGGCATGTCAAGTACAACAGGAAGGCTCCTTGTTACCGGTAAGCTCCAATATTCAACGGCAGAAGTTTTTTGCGCCCAAAGTTGTAAGCTGGATTTATGGCTCAGTTGGAAGTGAGAGCCGCTGTTTGCAGGGACTCCAGTCAATAAGAGCCGGCAGTTTGGGAGGGTTTTGTGAAAAACCCGTGTTTGTTTACTCAGAAAAACAGAAAATTCCCCTTTCTTTTATTTCAGGAATGGAAGTAAATCAAACCTGAGCAGAGATTATTCTCACCTCCTGGGGATCGTACTCTGTTTTTTGTATATACATTTTCTCCTTTGTCTTCTGGTGATCTGTTTCATTTCCTATTCTTAATTAAGTGTTTTAAATTCTTTCCAAAAGACAACAATTTGGTTAAATTAAGTCTGCTAAGAGGTCTATAAAACACTTTTATTTTAGCCCTAATGATAACCTTTATATGTATTGTAGAGTGCACAGTTCCCCAATTTGCAGAACAAATCACCACATAAACACCTGAAATGACAAGCATCCCAATTATTATTTAATCTTCTTTATTTGCTTCAAATGTGAGAAAAACAAAACTGTATTAAATTTCTCGATTTCTTTGTGCTTCAGCACTTAATTTCCCCTGTGGATGTTCCCTAATCTCTTTATCTGTCCTTCTTTTACAAAAATGTTGCTTCTTCTGCATCTTCATCGCTGCCAGCCTAAAACATATGGCATTAAATCCTGTATCAATTAGAATAAACTGGGATTCACACTGATAATGTTCGACCCGTGTCTCTTTCCACCACAGAGCAGGTAAATGACGTCGGGCTTCTCGTCGATGTCACACAACAACGACAGACGAAGCTTTGTGTTTCCAGACAACATGTCAGCGTCAGTCGACACGCTGACATATCGTGACTAAGCTAGCAGGAAATTGCGAGTCTTCTAAAAAAAAACTATTCAAATTGAGGCAGAATTATCTTCATTTTAAAGCGACTTAAATACGTCAGCGTGATGACTGATCTCTTCCAGTATTCTTCCACCACAGGCTACAACAGAGGAAGCAGCGTCCATTTAGGTTTTACGGTCTATGACTGAGACTGTATTGATTTTCAGAGTGGTAGAACTCACTTACTTAAATCAGTTGTTCTGAAACTATAAACACTGCGTTTGTTGAACTTCTATCCTGACACACACCTCGGGTGGATAGGAGACATAAACAAAAGTTTTTTGTCTTTTCCAAGAGTGTGTCCAAACTCTATGCTTCAGGGACCTGAGGTGAAGTCTGTGACACAGTTAAGCAAAACCCTTGTCTACAGTGTGTGTGCGTGTGTGTTTTGTTTGCTTGAGCTCAACTGAGGGGTGAAAAATACACTCCTTCAGTTTAATTTTATATTTAGTTGTTTGGTGCAGGTGCCTTTTGTTGCAGCTGCAAACTGGAAGAGGTTTTAGAGCAAAATACTCTTTTTTACTCTCTTTTTTTTTTTTAATCATACAAACCATACAACCAAACATCCAATTTAGAGCGACAAATACAAAGCACTGAGGGAAAGCAAAGACAACATTAGAGTGAAGCTTTTTCCGATGCCGCTGTTGAATTGGGCGCCGTAGTTAAGGGCTGTCTGAGATTCCTATTGGTTTCATTAATGTGGAGAAGGCTTTTGTTTACCTCTGATCATTCCTGATCTATATTTTCTACTGGAACAGTTTCACATTGACGGGCAGTGTTTGAAAAGTATGAGAGAATTCAGACTCACCATCTTCAGCAGTGTGAGGTTGGGCACTGTGGAGTCATGCCCCTCATTTTGGTTCTGAGTGAATGTAGGATTCCATCACGTGAAGCTTCATCTGATCCACAGTGGGTTATAATTGCTGTCAGCACATCAGCCCATGCAGATCTTGCCTGTGAGGACATTATTCCACTTTGATGGGACCATCTGTCTCATGTAGCAGATAATATCAGGCCACCTTTTCAACTTTTATGTTTCCCTAAATGCATTCTTGTGTTCCAGTGAGTGCCGTATCACTTGATGCTAAGCTTTGAAAAAAAATAAAAAGAAGAGGCAGAAAAAAAATCAGGCTGCGATTGCTCATCTCCCTCACAGTCAAATGTCTTATTATCTGTCATAGACTGGCAGGCTGCCCCCACCACAGACATGACTCCCACTTACAATGTGTGTGCGTGTGTGTGTTTTTCATTCCAAACCAGATCCAACCAGAATCCTCCAGGGGCCCACAGACATGGAGATAATTGTGGGCGAGAGCATCGTGTTACCCTGTCAGGTGGCCAGTGACCCTGTACTGGACGTTTCGTTCTCCTGGGCCTTCAATGGACACCTCATCGCCAGAGGAGACGGTCACTTTGAGTTCGTGGGTGGGGTGAGTGATCCAACACCCTGGTTTTTCAGCAAGTGTGAATGAGCAGTTGGCGCCTCTCTACCGTCCTTCATCATTTTTTCCCCAGCCAGTTGAACGTGACATTGTAGTATTTCTTGGAGAGCCCGGCGGTGGCTGATTTTCACTGAATGTGGCACGAATTTATGCTTTTGCAGTTTCTTCTTGGAGCTGTGCAGATCTTTTCTGGAAGCAGGTTGTGTTTCCTCATTCAAACCGTCCAAATGTACGTTTGTGAACGAACATGAGGTATTTTCTGTCAAAAATATGCTTCCTACATAAGAATCACAAGGCGAGTTATATGTTGGTCCCTCAGCCACTGTGACAGGTTGTCATCATTTTCGAGTGCACCTCTTTTCTCTCTTCTCACTCTCTCTCTCTCTGCGGCTCAGCCTTATGAAGTAATCTATTTTTTAATACCTGGCCTGGTCT